CAACATGTTTAATTTATGTCATTGATGACAGGTTTCATAATGTCGATTCCAAATATCTCGAGAGTGATTACACGTAGCGATTTTTACCAAGAGACCTTTTTTACGTAAAAGACGTAAATGTATATTTCTTTACTCAGTAGTTTTGTACAGGTACGGACAAAAAGTTATTACTCTTCAAACTAGTTAAAATATGTAGGTGGCGCCCTCTACAAGTAGGAGTTATATTGACATCAAAATCAAGTTTATCATGTCAAAGAACTGCTAAAGACCAATTTTCATCCAAATATTGACGTTACTTCAGAAATGATTTGGAAAAAATCAAAATAAAAATAAAACTTCTACACTCTGTATCGCCGAAACTAAACATTTTATGACATACATTTATACAAACTTTTTTACTTATTTTTATCTGCAGAATATGCTGCCGAAGTTTTCGGAATACAATTCGGACCACCCTGTATATTGACCTTATATATCAACTTAAAAAATTGTTAATATAAAGTATGGATATAAACAAGTTGGTAAAGGGATTGGAATATTTTTTTCCAATAATTCAATTTTAAAAGCATCATCAAATGCACAGACACTATGAGAATACTTGCAGAAAATTTGAAATTTTTTCAGTTGCCATTAACTTAGTTTTTATAGTCACTAAATATTAAAAATAACGCCATCAATTCCTCGAAAATGTTACACACGGAACCAATACTTAATACATTTACTATGTGTTAAAAATAAAAAAATGCAGAAAAATAATTAGCATGACATTTTTCTTATTTAACAGTTATTTAATCTTACAACATATATTTGAAAATACTGTCTTAAAATAACTTGCTAGAAAACATTAAAATTTTACATCGTCACATTCATTATTCTTGAGTCATAACTGAACTAAAATTGAACAATAACTTTACAGAATCCGACGAATATGTGATGTAGTGTTCTGTCACTAATTCCAGGTACTTGTATAATTTTTTCTTAGAAAAAAATAATAATAAAAAGGATTTTTACCTTAATTACTCCCTAATCTCACACAACCTTACTTCTGTTTCATTACTTCACATACAGGATGTGCAAAAAATTTAGTAACAAATGGCCAAGGATACTATATAGAGATAAGGATTGTTCGATTCCTATCCTCCTGCACTGTCAGTTTTTCTATGTCATCTAATGACCCAGTTGCCGCCAAAAGTTTTAGACAGTGACAGTTATTTTTGCATTTGACGGACGAGCGCACAGTGCGTTGGAAGATAAATTTAGCGGGACAAAAGCGTTTGGTTAGAAATAAGCCAAAAAATGTGTACTGTAAGAATAAATAGTAGACATTCCAATGGATATAAAAATGCATGAATATTCTTTGTATTTCGATACATTTTTATCAACCAAATTTGGTTGTTTTCTGCTCAGCAAGGCAGAGATCATACGAAAACAAAATATTTACAAGTGCTTATACATTTTATTCCAAAGACAAATTATGTTGAAGATTGCCAAAGGTATGTACTTTTCTACTGTACGTATATTATTTGTTAAAATTCTTTGTGCCTTTGTTCTGCAGATATGAAACTTTCATTTTTTTTCAAATATCGATATATTGAATGATGTAGATCTTTTGAGTTACCAATAGTTACCAACACAGGTAGTCACAGTCACAGGGAGTTCAAGCAACAGATGAATGCCCAAAAAGTTTCATTTCAATCGGATGGTATAAAAACAAAACAACTTCATCAAAAGGCACTGAGTTTATAAAATTGTCTTAGATACTTACTATATACGAATTTACAATTACCGAGTGTTAAAATTAAAATATCTATCTTAATTAATATTTTTAAAATAAAATATAATTTTTTAAAATAAAATATAGAGGGTGTCACAAGATTACAAAGTAATTAAAAAATAACTGCTAAAGAGTTTTTTTGTAAGTATTTCACCTGATATCATAATTTTATGTATTTGGCAATAGTTTACAATACGGTTTTTGTGTGTCATGTACGAATAATATCATAGTTTTATTATCTTGTATTTATTTATTAATAAATTAAGTTGTTAATAAATAAATAAATTTAACCATATAGTTGCTATATATTAGACCATTTGCTACGTTCTTAGATTTTAAGTCCCAAACATTGCTCTTCAGATTTTGTCCCGCTAGAATAACCATCCGCCGCACTGTGGAGCTCTGGTCAGCGCGTGACGTAGCATTCCATGGCGACTACGACAGCGGCGATTTGACGCGATAGAACAGTCCTTTAGAATATATACAGTCCTTGACAAATGGGACCGTTTTTTATTATTGACTTACTGAAAAAAGTTTATACAGAATTTTGACATATATGTCATGTGACAACTGTCATGATTGCCAAAAATATTAGGAAAATTGCAAATAACAAAAATCCTCTATACAGGGTGACCCAATATTCCGTGGACATAGAATTGCTACGTATTGTTGGAATCAAAATAAGTTCATTGGACACAATTTACCTCTATAAAAAAGTACTTCGTTTGTCCGTTAGAAGGCATCAAAACTTTAAAAAAATAAACACATTTCTTCAGATATTTTAAGAACTGTTACTCCGATTTGACTGAAATTTTGGGTATCTATATTTTGGCAAGTGCTTTAACATTTAACTTACACAAAAATCAAAAAAAGGTACGGGAAGGGTAAAAACTACCCCCACCTCTAGATAAATTTTAGTATAAATATTTTCCAACTCAACCGACGAACGATTTTTTTTCGCAAAATGGCCCTTCTAGTATTTACTACATTTTTTGTCTCTTGTAAAAAAAACCCACTGCGTATACTTTTTGAGGAAAAAAGAAATTTCCGAAGCTGACCTTCATAAAATGTTTCTTGTCACATCAAGCTATGTAGACGTATATGTTACAGTAAAAGTTGGAAATCAGTGATTGTTAACAATTACTAGTAAAAGCTCACATTCACTGATTTGCTAAAACTACGCCAGTAAAAGTTCAACAGCTATTTTTAATGGTGGGTTCATACAGCCAAATAAAATAAAATAAGAAATATATATTTGCTCATGCGCAGTACGATGAGGCTGGATAAAAGTTAACTTTTACGATTGTTTATAGTAATTTTACTATTTATAGTATATTTATTTATTAGTTGCCTACTATATTATACATTTTACTTATGTGAAATTATAAAATAAATTAAATCCAAACTGAAAATAATTGTAGGTTAGAATTAAGCGTGCGCAAAGCCGTTTTCACATAAAATAAAACAAGAAGTTAAAAGATAAAGACTTCTTATTTTATTTGTTATTTTATTTGGCTGTATGAACGCATGTACGGTATCCCATATAACCAATTTTCTTATTTTATTTTATTTTATTCTTATTTTATTTTATTTGGCTGTATGAACCCACCCTAAAACCAACTTTTACTAGTTCCCTGGACGGTAGCAGTGAGTCTGAAAAATTCAGTTAGCGCGGTTGCCACATGTTGTAAAATATAGGGATAAATAAGGATAAGTTGAATAATAGGCAATATAAGGATAACATTATATTGAGCTAAACGTTGGCAACGTTGACAGACATCTAGCGTAAATTCCCTTTGTTTTTTTGTGGTTATGTATAATTGTTGTGTTATCGTTGTAAAAAGTGATGTGCGGTATTTTCCCTATAGAAGAAATTTTCTATGAAAAATTAAGGCAAACTAGGCACTCGCAAGAATGTAATAGTGCCTGTTTTTCATTTTTGCAATATAATGAAGTCGGAGCAAAAATTAACCATGCAAGAGAAAAAGATAAAAGGGAACCTACTGACTATGAATTTATTAAACGTTTTGATATGCTTGAAGTAGTGGGTTTGAAAAAACGAATAGCTCCCGTTGAAGAAAATTCGGGCTTATTTTATTTTGTCCACGATGAAGAACTTTATTTAAAAAACCTTGTACCAATAAGTAATTGTAATTGTTTTGTAGGCTTTAAAATGTTTACTATGATTTCCCTTTTAATATTTAGAAGGTTATGTTATTTTCCATAAGTTTTAATAAATATACCAAAGAAGTAATTTGTAATTTTAAGATATGTGGATCAGCTTGAATATTGAGGTGATCCAAAATTCTTAAAAGTTTTATTTGTTCTAACTTCCATCAACATTCTTCCTCACCACACTCGCCCTGTACAATAGAATAACTTTTACTGGCACCCTTTAGTAAATGTTACTTTCACTAGTGAATGTTAGAAATTATTAGGAAAAGTCGAAAAATCTGTTTAAAATACCACATTCGCTGGTCCAATCCGTAATTGCTAGCATTTCCTAGTGAATGTTAACATTCACTGAATTTCTGACTTTCACTGTAACACATACAGTCTATTATACGCTAATAATCTAGCTGGCGAATATATTAAAATTTATATTAGTATAACAAATTATATTTGACAATATCTTGACTTCATAAAAAGCTTAAATAAATAAATAAATTTAAATTAACAATAGTGTTTATTTTTGATTGATGTCTTCTAATGGACAAACAAAGCACTTTTGTATAGAGGTACATTGTGTGCAATTAACTTATTTTGATTCAAGATATACATAGTAATTCTATATATCTACGGAATATTGGAACTCACTGTATGTTTTGTAAGCTGGCTTTAAAAAAAAAATTCTCCAAAATTTGTTTTCCTCAAAAACTGTGATGTAGCTTTTTTTTTACAAGAGACAAAACATGTAGTAAATACTGAAACAAAAATTAGTTGTTGGTGGAGTTGAAAAATATTTCTACTTAAATTTATAAGGGTGGGGATAGTTTTTACTCTTTCCGTACGTTTTCTCATGTTTAGTGAAAGCCAAAAGTTAAAATGCTTAGCAAAACATAAGTACCTAAAATCTCATTCAAATTGAAATATCGGTTCATAAAATATCTTAAAAAATGTGTTTATTTTTTTAAAGTTTGATGCCCTCTAGCAGACAAACGAAGCACTTTTGTCTAGAGGTAAATTGAGGTTAATGAACTTATTTTGATTCCAACAATACATAGTAGTTCTATGTACACGGAATATTGAGACACCCTGTAAACAAAAAAAAGTGACAAAATATCAAAAAAATGTCAGTTTCCTATTTGTTGTAAACTTTTTAGCACACCCTGTATCAGTACTTTTACAGAGCTTCAATAAATTGTAAACAATCTTAAATTGTTTTGGACTGGTTTTACCCATTATCCCTCACTTATACTCAACTATCTTTCTTTTGAATCTTCTTATCTTCTTATATCCCTTCCCAAACCATCCGGGTTGCGTTTTCCCTTTTTGTTCTTTGTCAAACGAACTGCTGCTTGCCTCCTTGTCACTGCTACTGTTTGTAGTAAACTCCACGTCCTCTTCTTCCGTAGAATAATCACAACACAGACATACATTCGGTTTATCTTTTTTCTCCACTTTACTATACCTCATTTTTTCATTGCAAAAGACTGAATTACTTTGCTTATAAAACAAACATAGCACTGACTTATACTTCTTGTGGCAAAATTCGCACAAAGGTTTGGCGAACACTTCTTGAGACAGGTTCAAAGGAAACGCTTCCTCTTTGATGACCGGAAGTGGATTTATAATGCTGTGAAGTCCGGGGTACAGAAAGCTGGTTTGATAGGGGTACAGAAATAGGTCAGTATAATGGCTGAACATACTAAAAAAAGTTAAGGAAGGATTTACTTCACTCAGAATTGTTTTGAAGCTATCACTACTAGTATCACAGTGAAAATTGAGATCAGATCTATTACTAAAACAGTCTTTTTGCACTTTGACTTCCATACAACAGTCCAATTCTCCTTTAATGTCTGGATCAAGCTTTAACATTGGTTGTGTTGTGGTATGCATTTCTAATTCGTTCAGTTCGGTGACATGATGGAATATTGGATCTACTGCTTTGTCATATTTCGGTACTACTATTCCCAACATATTCATAATCCTTTTAAAAACCACATCACACCTGCCATTAACTTTTATATTGGCACATTCATCTTTTGGAGTCCATTGGAGATTGACTATATAGAGGTTGGGTCTTTTCTTGGCTGGTTTATCCATTTGCCACAGCCATGGATATTTTTTCAACACCTTAAGACTAGACCCTGCAAAAATATTAAAAAATAGCATATACAGAGTTATTCGCCACTTAAGACACGGAGTATTGTAGCTAAATGATTAGATTTTTACAAATTGTAAGTTTTGGGTTCGTTGAAGAACTATTAGAGCTACAATTTAAAAATATTTTCAAAAGGTACAGAGTGTCCTAAATAAATAAAAACTGTTATAGTTGTATTTTTTTTAAATCTAACCTAACCTAACTAAACACCCTGTATATTATTTTATTTTTAGATTCTACAATTGAAATAAAGGTAAAGTTTATTAAGGTTTATCACACTTAAACCTTGCCATTTATGAAATATATTCAATTTTGTGAAATTGTAGTAAAAATTTTAAGGCTTCTTTTCTCAAATGGTATGAAAATTTTTAATGCTAAATATTTACTGAAGTATATTTATTGATCAGATATTGTGTTGTAATAATAAAAACAATACTTATATATAGTGTTTAAAAATTTATTTTAAATAATTATTAGCTTTAAACGACAATAACTTGTTTAATTTAAATGGAACACCCTATATATTTTACGAGAATCAGATGCACAATTTAATTGTCTCTCAAACTGTATTATACCATTTTTTACCTGTCTCTTCAATTTTTCGTAGAAAATGCATTTTCTTATAATTTAGACCTCATTTATCAATACAGCCAGGGAATATTGACATTTTCCCTGGCCCTGGTTTTTTTGAAGTACTAAAAAGGATAATATTGCAAGCCCATTTGTTTACAAAAATAAAACTATTTAAATCTTTATAAAAGAGTATTATCAATTAAATATACCACCATTATTTCCGCCCAAAAACTAGTTAAATACATACTTAATTGTTTTAGTTAATAAATTATTCTAAATAAATGTGGATTTGAATCAGAAATCAATATAATAATAAGTTATGAAAATGAATGTCATCACTGTTGTCATAAATAAGCATTCATCAAAAAATGACGTAAAATTTAGGTGTTACTTTTCACCACACTGTCTAATGCACATACAAAATCCAGTTTTAGAGCAATTATTATTAATCAATGCAAAAAGTCAATTAATGTAGTTTGAATAGATAGAATTGGTTCTCTTTAACAAATAATTAAACAGTTATTTTTGAATTATATGAACAATATTAGTATCTGTACTCTTTGAAAATTTATTACATCTTTAAAAATAATCTAAAATGTCAATATTCCATGGGTATATTGATAAATGATGTATAATTTATATAAACACTTGAACAGACAATAACCCTAATTACTACTATAAATAAAAATAACTTACCTAAACAAATAATTGTAGTAGCTTCTTTAGCATTTTTACAGGCCCCTTTCCAATTCAGTGGCCATTGCAAGCTGCCTCTCTCACCAAAGTGAACAATTGTATCCATTAAAGCCCCATTACATACATAACATCTTCTACAAGCATTTATTAAAATTTATTCAAAATGTATAACAGCGTTAAACAAAATCTTTACCTGTAAGTCTTATGTGAATATCTGGCAGTATTTTCAGTCACATCAAAAGCTCTCCAATATTCCCTGTGAGGTTTACAATTCTTACAAACTTCAATGTACATGTTGCCATGCAGTTCTGACAATGCAGTTCTTGGTAGACCTGAGCGAAGATGTAATCCATCACAGTTTTGAGATACAACATATTTTAAAATTTTTTGACGGTATAGTTCAAACAAAGCCATATGTGTAAATGTTGGTTCAGCTAATGATAGGTCGTGATCTCTAAAAAAATATAAGTATGGATTAATAACATATAAAACTGATTAACATGATTAGATAAGCATATAAAAAATCAGATTATATTTACCCAATTTCTTTGCCTTCCTTTAATCTTGTCCAAATTCCGTTAGGACCTCTATAATCTGGTATTTTTGCCGCTGTGCTGATGCCTGCCCCAGTATAAACAACCAAATGTTGAGACTGGGCTATGGCTTGTGCCAAAATTTGACACTTCTGCAATAAAACATCCTCTGGATCCTCAAACTCTTCAAGACGTTTCTTCAAAGCTTCCCTTTTTTTCATTCTTTCTTGTACTTCCTGTATAATGTTTGAACATTCTTCCAGGGTCTTCAAATCTTCATTAGTACGACTATCTTCTGACTTTTGAAGAATTGTTGAAACCTAAAATAATTGATCTTCATATTACATCACTGATCATTCGTTTCAAGTACGATTCCATATTAGAAAATGTACTATAATAAAAATAGATATAAAACTTACCTTTCTCAGATTTGCAGCTCTTTCTTCTTTGGCACATAACTTTTTAGGTTGAACACTTTGTGGTCGTAATAAACGAATTCTTTTTGCGCCCGATTCCTCAAATTCAGCTGACTCATTATCTGCATAGTCGTCGCAATCCATTTCGGTATCCATTTGCGAGAAAAACAAGATAAGTTCTACAAACTATTAAATAAAAACAATGCCTTTCATCGCTCCATTTCACCTTGTTTTGGTTCACTTCTTAATTAGTTTTTTCCATGTTGGCAAAAGTAGTTCAAATAATTTGACGTTTGAAAAGTACGTTCAGAAAACTACTAAATATAACGGATAAAATGTTTAAAACAATATTTCATTTAATTCATTAAAACTCTATTTACTAGTTTATTACATAAGAATTGCATTTAATTAATTGTAGGCAATAAATTATCTTGGGTAACTATTTTTAAACATGATTTTATGTTTTACAGGAACATTCTTTTAACTGTCAAAAACGTCAAAAACGTAATTGTTAAGTTGGCAATTCTATTCGTTGAAGTTTTTAGAGAAGCAAGTCCAAGGAAAAACAAAGTTTTTTATTTTCCCAAAAAGAATTTGAACTTAGATTTAAATTTTAACTAATTTAAGATATACTCTTTTTGATTTGATTGATTTTCTTTTATATTTTTGAATGGTATTTGTTCATTTTGACCAAACAACGATAGAATGCATTGAACTTTACAGATATGGCGGCGACTAGAAAACTTCAAGGTATTGTTTTTTGTAGTTTCGTTTTTTATTTCTATTTTCTTTTTTTGGATAAAAAATATCAAAATATAAACGTAACTAAAAATACACTGGTTCGTCCTCCCATAAGTTTTCTGTAATAAGAATTATGAGAAAAAAATATTTGAGTTGTAAACAGTACTATTTTTTTTGTTTTATTCAAGGAGAGATAGATCGTTGTTTGAAGAAAGTAACTGAAGGTGTAGAAACATTTGAGGATATTTGGCAGAAGGTTCACAATGCGACAAATAGCAACCAAAAAGAAAAATATGAGGCCGACCTTAAAAAAGAGATCAAGAAGCTGCAGAGGCTTCGAGATCAAATTAAAAGTTGGATAGCTTCTGGTGAAATTAAAGACAAAAGTATATTAATGGATAATCGAAAGTTAATTGAAACTGTAAGTATAACTGCCTCACTCTGTGCTAAATAATGACAGTCGGCCTTCAGCAAATGGAGAGGTTTAAAGTAGTCGAAAGAGAAACAAAGACAAAAGCTTATTCGAAAGAAGGTTTGGGAGCTGCCCAAAAATTAGATCCAGCCCAAAGAGAAAAGGAAGAAATGCAACATTGGTTGAACAATTCCATCGATCAGCTGTCTATTCAGGTTTAATTTATTTTTACGATTTGTGAAGCCAATCTAAAGGTCATGTAATTTTAGACTGACTCTTTTGAGAGTGAAATAGAACAATTGCTTTCAAAGGGCAAAAAGAAACTGGATAAAGACAAACAAGAACGAATGGATGAGTTAAAAGGAAGATTAGAGAGGCATAGGTTTCACATACAAAAATTAGAAGCGTTATTGAGAATGTTAGTTAATGAATCTGTTGAAGTAAAACAGGTATGTATTTAAATTTTAAATGTATATTTATAGAGTTATTGAAGCTTGTAAGAGCTTTTAAGAAATACATCTAATTGTGTTTTAATTATTTATATCCTTGATATTTACACACTATGATAAAATATATTTATTGTTTTAGATCAAACCAATAAAAGACAATGTGGATTATTATATTGAATCGTGGAAAGAACCCGATTTTCAGGATAATGAATTCATATATGATGATATAATTGGATTGGATGAAGTAGAGTTATCTGGAGTAGGCCTGCCATCATCGGGTACTTTTATATATTACAAAAACATATTTGTTAGAGTTTTGTTGATGCTTCTTTTTTTAATACATAAGCTTTAGTCGGTGACTGGGAGACCCCTAAATTTAAGTTAAACAGTGTTTATTCATAAAAATAAGTGATATCAACTTTAAAAAATCATTGTTATCATCTTGAATTAAATATTGACTATTGTAGCTAAAATTGTGAATGTCGAGTGTCTATGAAAGGCTACTAGAGCTACAATTTAAAATTATTCAAGTCTCAAATAAAAATTTCAGAGAAAAAGATGAGAAAAAGTTCAATTTTAAAAAATATCTACATATTATCTATATCTATATTGATATTATTTGTTAAGTTATACTGTAATGGTACTCGGTTAATCAAGCATATTTACTGAACTTCGCCAAGGATTATTAAAATAAAGACATTTTATTATTAGTATATACCTCTTTGGCGGATTCATTTCTAGAAAAAAAAATCCTATGGGTATTTCGCCACTGTAAGAAAATCTACAAAATAAAATTAGTTATTTTTTGTAGCCACTGCTGGCGTTAATCCAAATTAACTAATTGTCAGCAGTGGTTTTTTAATAAACAAATTTACCCAACGGACAAAAAAATGCTTAACATTTCGGGAAGTATCTCTTCCCGTCTTCGGTAGCAAACAAAAACAAACAAAATTTTAAATTGTTTTTAAAATATCTAAAGGTGCGTCCAGACCTGACGAGACTAGCGCGAGACATTCCAAATTTGCGAAGTGTGGCGGGTTTCGCGAGACAACCAACGGAGCCTCGATGCTAAGAAATCTCGCGGCACAGTCAGGACGTGTTTTTGGTAGGCTCGCTCGACTGCGAGATATTAACTCTGATTTATAAATTTCGACTATTAAAAATTAAATAACCTCAAATTCTTTAAATGGTACACCGTATGTATTATCATTTTGCTGATAGAATTTACAAATTTTGCGTCACTGATAATTTTTAGGGTACCGAAATCTTCAACATTTCTTTAATCAAATTAAATTATTACAAAATCTATTAACTTTAGATAATATCATATGCAAAAAAAAGTTACCTAATTGTACGTAGAATCTAATAATAAAATAAAAAACAGGATATTTCCATTAAAAAATATATGTTATATCCGCAACACTTTTTTGAAGCACCCTGTATACTCTACAGTAATTTTAAAATGTGCTTCTATATAACTTTTCTGTTTAAAATTTTGTTCTAAAAAACGTTAAAATACGTATTTTGTAAAAGACGTCGTGTCCTGAAACAAATGAAGGGTTAAAAGGAAAAATCGACGATGAATAAAATACGACGAACCAAATACCATGTTCGAGTTACAAACATTTATTACTCTATCCGTTATTATTTGGCCATCGTTTGTTATATTCAATTAAAATTTAATGTGTTTGGGTTCCTATCACTATGATCTAACTCGCTTGTCTCGTGGCATGCTTCCCTCAAAAAATAGATAGAAGATGTCTCGCTCTCGTCTTGCTTTTGTCTCGCTTTTGTCTCTTTCTTGTCTCGCTCTTGCCTCGCTCTCGTCTCGTCAGGCCTGGACGCACCTTTAATGCAACTATTCGAGAACACTTTAGTTTTTTTTAGATACGTCTGTAAAAGCCGTTGACGTTTGATTTGACGTGATTATAAAAACTAACTATAAAAGCCGTTGACGTGATTTTTAACAGAATTAACAGATTTAAAAATAACTACGTTCTCAAATACGTCCCTTTTCACAATAAGGACGTTGGCATCCTCCTGAGTTTGATTTGATACAATTTTTTCTTTTTCAATGAGACAGTAGGGCTCAGGAAACTATGATTCATGAGACTATATGGACTCAGGAAATTATATTGTAGCAGATTGCTTTCTTTACACTCTTGTCGATCTTTCTATGTTCTTGGTGCCTACACAATCTTCTCAGAGCTGTCAAAAATGACAAGAAAGAACTTATTTTCAACTGGTTGTTGAGCCCAAACGGCATATGGCAGTGCGATTCTGTAAACATGTTTTCTTTCTAGTCTAGTCACTCATTTTTTTTTACTAGGGATCTTACAGAATCCCACTGCTATTCTTCAGAGAAAAAAAAATAAATAACAAAAATTATAGGAAAATGTCTGTACTTTAATTTTATATAGAATGATTATTTACGAAAAGTTTATATTTGCAAAGTTATAAACAAAAAAGCACAAAAAAAACATTTTTTTTCACTCTATCGTATTTTTCTCCATGTTTCGTCACGAAATTTTGTTAGCAAACCTCAGAAACCCAAATTCAGCACCCCAAAAAAACAATAATAATGGAAGAAATTTAGAACTTTTTTCGGTACAATTTGACTAGACTATTATCCTAAACATATTTGTTGAGATTGCGTTTTTTGTGTTTCGTTTCATATTTTTTGTTCCTCTTTGTTTTTGTTGACAAGTATTAGCCAGCCATTTTAACTTCATTTCGGTGTTGTTTTAATGTGTAAAATGTGAACGTCTTGTGTGTGTGCTGTTATTTTAATTTACGACGACTTTTTATAATTTAGTATTTATTTAGGGGTTCTTTCCTATATTAGTTTAGGTATGACGATGCTCGTATGGAGCGAAACATGTGTCACATAGTTTTAATATTAATGTATGAGACCGAGACTTTGAGTTTTTTCATTTTAATTGACACAACTCGCAATTTTAACCTGGCAAAGTTAATCCAGCAGGATGGAGTCACCTTCTAACTGTCCACTCATTTATGTTTACAATTCTCACTTCTTCTAGATGATTTCAAAGGGAAACTTCAGTGGCCGTTCGATTTCTTAAAGCACCAAAAACGAGAAAGCGGTTATCTCTATGAAATGTTGTACAGGGTGAGTCAAGGATTGAGTAAAGTCCATTATCTCATTTGTTTTGAGATTTACGAAGAAAGGTTAGGTTATAGAAGCGTTACAAGAGGAAACTTAAGATGCACATTTTAAAACTATTACAGATTATACAGGGTGCTTCAAAAAAGTGTGGCAGATATATCATGTTTTTTTTAAATACAACACCCTATTTTTTATTTTATTTTTAGATTCTGCCTAAAAATGTATAAGTTTGTATATAATGTTATATACAGTAGCGTAGCGTAGGCCCCGCAACGGCGGGGGGACCTCCAATTTTATTTACTAAATGCATTATATATATGTGAACAGTGTCCCCTACAATCTCCAAAAATAAAAGGGCAAAAATTAAAAATATTTTGGACTTGATTTAATTTTTAAGCTACATTGTTACCTTAATAATGTAGTATGTTCTAATTTTAAACACGTATTTTTTAGCCAAGTAAAACCTACATAAAGCTATATTATGTTTTTTAGTGTGTTTTTTTTTATTTTAATATAAGGGCCCCAAAAAAATCTTACGGGGGCCTAACATTTAAAGTTACGCTAGTGGTTCTATACCTAATATTAATAGTTTTTGTAATATTTCAATTTGTTTAAAGAAATGTCGGATTTTAGAGCCGTCAAAAACTGTCAGTGGTGCTATTGTTCCTGAAATTGGATTAGTAAAGTTTGGTAGGATAGTTTTATAGATATGAAGAAAAAGGTATATGTAAAGATATTTGACTTAGATACTACGTGGTATTCTAAATATATTTATGAATTTCGATTATTTAAAATTAAAAAATCTCAAATTTTTTTAATGGTATACCCTTACATACTAAAAAGTTATAAAATTTTACGCAAAATTTAAAAATAACATGAAAAATAAGGTGTTGCATTTTAAAAAAACGGATGTTATATACGCAGCATTTTTTTGAAGCACCCTGTAATAATTTTAAAATGTGCATATTAACCTTCTCTATGACCTTTCTGTTTAATTTTTTTTTTGTAAATCTCGAAAAAATGAGATAATGGACTTTATCGTTGACTCACGCTGTAGTATAAGTCTTCGAGTGAGCAGATCGGTCTTTTGTAATTATCTTAAATACCATTACTTTATTTTGAATTTACTGTAGGTAGCACTGAACATTAGTGTTATAAATTTTAATAAAATTTAATTATAAATTAGATCAAATAAATAATTTTTTAATTTTATTTTAATTTACTAATTGCGATAATAAAAAATAATTCTATTTATCTCATGAAAATCGACAAAATGTCAAGATACAACTTTTAATTAGCATTAAACGGCCAACACAATTTTGGCAACAAGAGAAAAAAAGTCAGTGGCGCACATATTTTTTTAGAAAAATATTCCAATGATAACCCATATGCACGTCCTTGGTGAATCTGTCGATACTTTTTTAGCATTAAAATTATTAGCACTTATAGTAACTTTTACCCTCAAAATTTCATTCGAATCACTAAGCGCACTTGGAAGAAAATTATAATAAATTGATAAAGAAATGATGACTTTGGCCCCCCATAGCTACAAAACAAAGCAAAATCGGATCTATAAATCAGAAAAAATAATATAAAAAATAAATCTTATTTTTACGTGAGAAATCTCCCCACGAGAGATGGCACGACATGTTTTGTGGAACAACCCTGTATAATTAGGAACCTGCCACGACTGAAGAAAATCCAAAAAAATAAAAATATCTAAAACATATGCAAATTACAGGGAACTATATTATGACACTACTTAATATTCGTCTTGTAATTTAATTATTCCTATTTCAGCTACGACGGATAGTAATGATACAGGTGGTACACCGACGTCAATGATCTCTGGTTCGTCTCCGATACCGTCCCCAGCGCCATCTTCAGGTGGTTTGGCTAATTCGACAGCATTTAATCATTCCATTGAAACCAATGCCATTGAGGAGAAAAAAGCCATCTCTAAAGAAGTTCAACAGCAGCCAAAAGTAAGTTTGTATTTTATATTTTAGTGAAATGTCGATTTTGCTTATCTTTTAAAAAATGGGATATTACAGTTCATACCAAATAAACTTTTAGACACTTGACTAAGCTTGACCGGCACAGTGTTGCCCATTTTTATATACACACACCGGAAAAATCTAGAGATATAATTTTATTAAAGTTAAAAATAAATGTTTTGAATAAACAACCACATATTTGTAGGCCGATTCTTTCTACTTCGATTGAAACGAAGTAGTCACACTAGTTATTTCTAAATTTTCTTATATTTGCAGCATTTTTTGTCAAATGTATAAAAAGCACCTAGCATCAATTGTTCGAATTTAACCTGTACTGGCTATGTTTTTATGATAACTGGCCAGAATTCATTCAAATAACTCTGTTTAGTATTAAACGATTATGGAGCGTAGACATCTTAACAGAGACGAAATGCTAAGGGCCATGGGTATGCTCGAAGCTGGAATGCGCCAAATCGACGTAGCTAGAGCATTAAATGCAACGCAAAGTGTAATATCGCGATTAAGGCACACAGGGCGACATCGCATTACTACCCCTCAGCAAGATCATTTTTTACAATTAAATGCTCGACGCCGACCGACTCTTACAGCACCAGAGCTTAGTTTAATTCTCCAGGAAACACATAATGTAACAGTTAGTCCTGACACTGTTCACAATAGATCAAGAGAGGTCAACTTAAGAAACAAACGCCCCTGGGGAGCTCAACCCTTAACGAGAGGAAATCGAGAGGTACGATATTTGTGGGCTCAAGATCATGTTCAGTGGTCGAATGAACAATGGGCCAATGTTCTCTTCACGGATGAGTCATGCTTTGGAATTCATCCGGATTCGAGAAGGCTTAGGGTATAAAGAGAACCAGGAAATCTTATTCGGTTGGATCATGTTCAGGAAGTGCACCCTTATCAAGGTGGAACAGTTATGGTCTGGGGAGGAGTCCAGTTAGGCCGAAAAACCGATCTCGTTTTTCTTGAAAGGTTTCTAACAGGAATCACATATCGTGATCTAATTCTTGAGCCTATTGTGTTATCATATGCCAATGATTTTGGGAGAAACTTCATTCTCATGCATGACAATTCACGGCCATATACAGCCAGAGTGGTAAGTGAGTTTACCAATGCTCATCAATTAAACATCTTACCCTGGCCGGCACAATTTCCTGACCTCAACCCCATCGAGCACGTATGGGACGCGGTCCAAAGAAGAATTTTGAGGATGGGTATGCCTCGTGAAACTCGTAGGGATCTGGTTCGGGCTGTGAATGCAGCATGGAAGGCTGTACCTCAAGAAGAGAGCGACAACCTGATCAGGAGCACGGAGAGACCATGTAGGGCTGTCATGAACAGTAGAGGAGGCTATACCCTTTATTAAGTAAAATTGGTTTTATCTTTTTTTTTTTTAATTCACAGTTTAGAATAAAAAAAATGTGTGTATTTTTTTGAGTTCAATAAAAATCAAGGTAAATTTGAAAAATTCGGTAAATTTCGCATTTTTATTTCCAATACGTCCTGTAAACTATTTGTTTATTTTAATTTTATTATAGAAGATACATATATATTACAGAAATGCAAATAATAAAATTACTGGCGATAACTGGATAAAATTGTAATGTCCCTAGACTTTTCCGGTGTGTGTATTTTCTTTTAATCAAAATATTTTAGGAAACAAAAATACATTAATTATAAATATACAAACAGTTATTATTTACATCAACAAAACTCACCTTCTTAACAACACTTAAGGGACATAAAGGGCTATCGCCCATTGCTGTCGCTTTCCCGTTCACAATATTCTAATGAAGTTGCGATGGGTTTTTTACGGCTATTAAGATATCTTGTGCACTTCGCACTAAAAGAGGTTCTAATCGATTGCAAATTCTGCTAGTAATCATGTTTAAGCTTAAAGCATCACAACATTATTTATTTAAACTAAAAACTCATAATAAAAAAATAAAGTGTCAAAACGAATGACAATGTCAGGAAATTAATAAATAAATGCGGCAACTTGACATTTTTTACAGCAGAGCTGCCATCTGAATCCCCAGCGAGAAATTTAAATTTCACTTAGTCAGCACGGCGCCGAATATGACCAGCAATTAATTCAATAATCGCGCCGTCGATGACGTAACTAAAAGTTTATTTGATATGAACCGTATGTAAAAGTTTTACAAATAATATCAGTACAGTTTTAGCATTTTATTTTCTTCCTCTGTTATCAGGTTTATGTTTTTTTTATGTTTTACTTTATTATTTATTTTTTATAACTAACATTTCAAATTACAGGGTGTACCGAAAAATTTGCAACAAATGGGATTTTTTTATTGAGTTTTTTGAACTAAATAAAATGCTAACACTATACAAAGGTATTCAGTGTTTTCTATTATATATTTTTTTATTTTAATTTAGCCAGTCAAGCCTATGGCTGTTAGGGCTACGTCTGCATCTCTAAACAGTAGTACAAATTCGGTACTGAATTATAGTAGTGCTAGTGCAACGTCCACACCATCTGGTAAGGGTTAGTTGAGTATGCTGTTTTGTTTAAACATACACTTTAAAGAATTATTTATTTTTGAATTTTTTTTTATTTTAAAGATCTATGAAATATCTAATAATAAAAGGACAATTTTTAGTTTTTAAGAATGCTAATAATGTTAAAAATAATCACTTAGTCATTGAATAAAAGGACTAAGGATGGAGCATATCAACAAAAAAAAGCGCGACAGCGAGGGTACTTTAATATGGCTGTCTTGAATTCAGGCTTATCAGTGGCGTCCTAATTGTTTTTAAAATGTGTTTAAAAAGACATCTAAATGTAATAGAGGCATGGTTACGTGATTGGAAAATAAAAATTAGCCCATCAAAATCGGCCCAAGTAACCTTTACTTTAAATAGAGACCAGTGCCCCAAGTCTTCCTCCACTAAATACTTAGGTATGCACTGGGATACTAATCTTACCTGGAAAGAACACATAGTAAAGAAACGTAAACCAATAGATTTGAAAATAAAAGATTTATATTGGTTAATAGGAAGATCTAAACAGTCGCTAGAGAATAAACTTCTTTTATTTAAAACAATAATAATACCTATTTGGGCGTATGGAGCAAAACTCTGGGAATCCGCTGGTTAATTAAATATAGCCTTAATATAAAGGAGTCAATCCAAAATTCTACGGATGATAACAGACGCATCATGGTATTTCTTCAATCATACTCTAGAGTATGATTGAAGACTTCATCTAGATGAAGTCTTAAAAATTCTGTATTATTATTATAAAAAAATCCGTTAATTATTGCTTAAAATAAAACTAATAACAAACCAAACAAGAAATAACATAACAAATACAGAAAAACGCAACAAACCCTCAAAAGTTTAAGTAAAATTCAAACGTGTCAAGTGACACATCAAACAAAACTGACAACAGACGGTATTTCCATCGTCACCGTCGCCTCTGTTTTCTAATACATGAATATAAAATAGTATCAGACTCCTTCTGCAGTCTTTTTATTGAATGGTTAAAGTCAGCATTTTAAATGTGAAAGTCGAATAATTTACATTATTACAATTTTAAAGGTAAAACGACTACTTTAACCAGTAGTACGCCTAGTAAGATTATTCTAGCAGCGCGAGAGAACTCTCCCATTATTTCAAGCATGTCGACGGTCAGCAATTTCGCAGCTGCAGCAGCCAATAACCTCAGTTCGAAGTTGATAACTAGTAAGTCGAATTGACTAGTAAAAAATGAGAAATGTATCTTAATAAATTTACTTTTTAGATAGTGGCGAAAGCAACTCATCTGTGATACCCAATGTTAGTCAAGCACCCCAACAGAGTTTATTAAACTCCATCAACACATCAGCTGTAAATTTATCCATTACTTCACAGGTATTATTTCGAATTTTGTGTTTATATTTATATTTTTATTATTAAATACATATTACATAATATTCTACATATTTTAAAATTATTTCTTGAAACGTAAAATGGGCGTCTGCTGGATCTGTGTCTATGAAAGGAATGCGGACAAAAAACATTTAAATAAACAGCAATATATTTTATACGTCGACTTGACGAGTACGTCACCGCAAATCGCTCCGCCCACTCACTTTATTGGCTACTTGCAAATTTGTCGAATTTTTATTGATGGGACGCGTCCTCCAATTTTTTACGAAAAACATCGAGAGCATATTGTTTCCCCTCTCACGGATACCCCGTAGCTACAGAACGGACAGACGCACTGTATAGTAAGATAATGTTTATTTTATGATACTGTAATTATAGTTTAAACGTTGACTATAGTATTTTTATATTGTTTTGATTATTCCAGACATCTACAAATTCTACTAGTTCATCCCAGAAGCCTAATGAAGGTACAGTACAAAATAATTGCACGCCGGAAGCGAATAATAGTTCGAGCCCGTCGCCATTGTCAAATCCTGACGGCCCTCAAAACATCCCCAACGACCTCATGGAAAAAGTAAGTAACACCTACTACAGATGTTTCTTCTACTGTATAGGCTTGGTGCGTTCTCCGTCGGTGCTGCCACCATCGGTGAATATCGTAAACAACTATTATATACAAATACACGGGTTTAAATAGCGAGCATACAAAAAACGTTTATTATTCCAGTTAAAAAACTTTTTAGATGAGTTCAACTATGGTAGCGAGTATAGTTTTAATCACCGGTTTTGCTAGTGGGGCATAATTGGGGATATTTTGGCTTATAACGAATTTTTTTAAAGGTACATAATTATAATTTTAGAAGATGTTCATAAAACATTTAATAACTAGTTGATAAAAAAATATAACCATTAATATTGCAAATTATATTTTATCCTCTCATAATATATGTCTATTTAATTTTTTTATTATGTAAGGAGCACTATGTTTACTCACTTGTTTCGTCGAACTGCTTAAATCCATTTTTGCTTTTGATCAAATTGGTGTGAGAAACTATGAAGTATGAAGCTATAAAATGTTTTGGGAAAGTTGTGTTATTGGATTCAGTGTAGCCAGCGACAGAACATAGTTCTGAGAACGGGCCTTATTTCGAAAAATAACATTTGTTAAAAATGAAAAAAATTTAAACTAAAAACTTAAACTTTTTTATAAGAAATATACGTAAACACCCTGTAGAATGTAGAATGTTTAGGAGGGGTGTTAATCACCGCGACCTTACAGATCTATTGTGTGTTCCCGTTCTTCGAAAAATGTATATGAGTTGTAACTCGTCATGCACCCTCAGGGCTTTGATAAAAGCCAGTATCGGAGACGGCTCCACAGAGACCAGCTCTCCATTTCCGACATCAGTCGTACCAAAGTTTATGGCACGAACGATTGTCGTCGTCTTGGTGCACTCAGTGATGAGGTGTTCTGGTGTTTCCCCATTTTCCCCACAGAATCTGCATTCGCTGTTGTTTCTTAGCTTCAATCTATCTTCTATCTAATGAGGTGTTTGTTAAGGAGACAGTATTCTGTTAGAAGTTCTTACTTGTGAACACCCTGTACTCGTCATTTTCTTTTGCTTTGCAGATCCAATTGCCTGAGCTGTCCACGCTGAAAACCATCGCCCAGCAGGTAATAGACAGGACGACGATAGAGAATCAACAGCAACAGCAGCAGCAACAACAACAGCAGCAGCAGCAACAGGTGATATTGGAGACGCCCCGCAGCCAGAGCCAAGCCAAGACGGAAGCCCACATACCTCCGCTGTTGGGCGTCGCTCCCCTGGGAGCAGTACCCCTACAGAAGGAACACCAGCAGCAGTTCCAGCTGATGGAACCAGCGTACTACCACATGCCGCATCCTTCGGATACGGAAAGAATACGGACCTACTTGCCGAGGAATCCGTGCAATACCCCTGCGTATTACATTCAGGTGAGATTATAAAAAATATTTCGATGCTTTTGTTCAATAATTGACGAAGTGACTTTGGTGACTATTGTTGTAATATCATACCATGCTGGCAACTCTTACTTTTGGATCGGTATTTACATGTGTGGAAGTATGCTGTTGCGGCGTTGCCACATTTCTGCGGTGCGCCTTTCCCTATCAATTAAAGTAAAATCACGATCGCAAACCGCTTATTTTTTAAAGACTTTTATATTTTGAAAAGATAACTAGATAAAAATAATTAGATATGTTTTTGAGCATATAAAGGGAGAAAACATCAGTAATCGCGATAATTTAAAAACTCAACTTTTTAACACATAACACGCGATAACTCAAGAACTACTTTAGATATTGAAACTTTTTTTTATTTTGAAGATCGGATCATTTACAAGATGTTTAAATAAGAAAAATTCGATAGACTTGTTTTTTTCCATTCAAAATTAAAAAAAAACATCCAAAAACCATTACTTTTAGTACATTGCAATTTTCAAGAATCGTGTAACTTTTTTATTTATAAAGATTTTCGCATACTATCTACAAAAAAAATATACCAGATATATTAAGAAAGTGTTTGAAAAAAACTACAATCAATTGTTTCTAATGGCACAGATTAGGTATACTATAAAATATGTATACAGATAAAAATCTTGTCCCTAATTCATGGTACGAAGATTGATTTTTATGACAATGAGCAAACGAGTAAAATTTCCTGTGCGCAAAAATACACTCGCGTTTAAACAGCGTAATAACTGGGCCGGTCAGGCGCTGTGCACAATTTTAGAGGCCATGAGTGGGCGTGCTATGTGCGGAAACTAGTAACCTAACTAGTGCGCGACTCTGAAAATTGGAACCACGAAAACGATGCTTTTGACGATAAATTTATAATCTGTCCTAATGGATTTCGAGATATTGATTTTTTAATTCAGAGTTTTAATAGCGCGACCACTGTCGAACACCAACTCAATTCCACTTATTTTTACCAAAAGTGCTAGTGTTTCTAACTTGCACTTAAAAATATACCAGCTATAGGGAAACTTACAACGACTCTATTTAAGAACAAGAGCAACAGCTTTTGTACAATCTTCGACTTTAAGGACCATATGTAGCATAGATAAAAGACTTATACTATTAAATAGATAGGCAACTTATAATACATTTCAATTATATTATACAAGGGCGCCTCTGGTAGACGGAGGAAGAAATACTAATGGAAGAGAGGGGTGCGGGGAAGGGGGGTTGTTTTAGTTAATTTAAAATATATTTAGACATACATGTAAGAACACTTTGTGTGCTTTTAATTAGGTCGAACATATTATAAACGATAAATCAACTGAATTAAAAGCATACAAAGTGTTCTTATATGTCGGATATTAATTAAAAAATATATTAAAAATACTAGAAATAGTATATATTAAGTTGTTACAGTTATAATGTTTGTGATCAGGTACCTGGGCCTTCTGATAGACGAGACTCTGTCGTGGAAGGAGCACATAAATTACATAAGAAAAAAAATAGTCTCTCCAATAGGGATATTCAGAAGGCTAAGCTCAGTCCTTCCAATACAACTTCTTAGACCACTTTACTTTTCATTGGTACATAGTCATCTCCAATATTTAAATATGATATGGTCAACGGCAAATGAAACTTTACTAAAACCAATAAAAACATTGCAGAACAGAGCCATAAAAATATATACAAACTACCAGTTAGGTATCACACAATGGATCTGTACTCAAATCACAATATAATGTCGGTTGATAGTATCTACAAGTTTCAGGTGTGTCAATGTATACATGGAATTATTTTAAATGCCAAACACTCTGTCCTCAAATTTGATAGGAGGGCCCAGGTGCATGATCACAACACTAGGAGGCATAATGATGTAAATCTGCCTAAAATGCTCACCTGCAAGAGGCAAACCTCCATCTCATATAATGGAGCTAAGTTGTACAACGAACTCCCAGATTCTTTAACGTTGAATTTAAATATGCTAACATTCAAAGTACAACTCAAAAAATATATTTTTCAAGGACAAGGGGTAGGAAAATAAAAGTAGACTTGCTCTGACAGGATTCGTAGACTGATTAGTTTTTTTTATTTGTACATAGAATTTATGTTCTAAACTTGTACACTTGTAAACTTGTAAATTGCGTACTTGTAAGCTTTATTGTGTATGTATTCTAAGGTTAAGTAAAATAATACAAGTATCTTTTATCATGTTGTGTAACTTTATCTTAAAAAAAAAATTATCTATAATTATATTTGATTGATCTGTGATATAGATGTAATGAAAGGATGAGCCTGTATGAATATTTTTTCTGTATTCCTAGGTTTTGTTCAATAAAGTAATTTTATTTTTTTTATTTTTTATAATTTAATCTTTGGCGGTTTTCAGCAAATAGCAGGCAGTTTTACATAATTTTCCTCCCTTTGAAGTGAATTGGAAACGGCTAGGTATATAATTTTGGTGTAGGCAAGATTCCCAGTTTGTTTCCGTTTGGGACCTGAAATAATAAAAACAAATTAAATCAGATGTAATCATCTGCTGATCATGCTAATATAAAACGCGCGTCCTTAATTCCTTACATGCACCGTAAAAAAATTTAAATAACTGCTCTGCAAGTAGCATTTATTAGCAGTACTAATTTAAAAAATCTATAACTGTAAGTAGATATGTTTAATTTACTTACCATTGTATCCTTCGGAAACCAGGAGTACAACAATTAAACTCCATGATAAAAAATAATTAAAAGTTATTACAAAACACAAATTGTCCCACCATTTTTAAAAAACATTGTCTAAAACAGAATACTGGCAAAAAATCTGAAGGAATTTAATTTTACAATAATTCGACAAATCAAAACGAAATCAAACCGTAAAATCACAACAAAAGCGTCTCTGAGTGACAGTTAAAAATCAAATTTTATTATTGTCAGATATTGACATTTGCATTGTTAATATTGACAGTTTTAATATTTTGCGCCTCTGCATCTTGGAGGAAAAACTATTTTTAATGAACTGTCATTTCCATTTAAGTTTCCCAGCCATGATATGTAGTATGCAAAATGCCAATCGTAGGTATGCAAAATGTAACTGTCAATGTGACATTACGACAGTAGTCACCTAAACCACCTCGTCATGGTAAAAAATGTCAAAAAGTAATGATAAATAATTGAAAAAATTGCAAATTGTTGGTGGCAAGTTCATTTCGCTCTTAAAAATTAACCAAGGTAGGTATGTGTTGACATGAGCTAAAAAACAAATTGCTCAGACAACAGGGCCCTGATGAAAAATACTGTTTTAGGAGAATTCACTCATGAAGTTGTTGCACAGGGTGTTATAAATTTAAAGTAAAAAAACAACCCTGTATAGTAAGCCAAATACTAAAGTTTGTATGTATTTATGTACAGTTTGCTAAAAAAATCATGAAATTAGGGCTAAAAAACACTTTCAATTTGACGACAAAAAATTCCGTTGCGCTTTTTTGCATTTGAGTGTATTTGATATTGATATCCAATATACTAAGGGCTGGCAAACGTTAGTCTTAGGTCGAGATTTCCGTATGTAAGAAAAGTACAATGCGCTTATAATGTACTGGACAAAGAGAGAACAGTAAAAACGTTGCCAAAGTGTGAAATAAACTGAGAAACTGTGCACATTGCTAAGAGACGTGGAAGGGGATATAGCAGATTCGTCGCGGCCGACGGGTCAACCCAATCAGTGCCTGTGATCAGTACTTAAAATTCTTGGATACGTACATCATGCGTTTAGCTTTACGATTTAATTACGTCTCGTGATACTTTATTTGTTTATTTATTAAGGAATTGTATTTTTCCCTATAGCTTGTAAATTTGCAAGTGCAAGTTATAAACGTAAAAAAGTTTTGGTAAATATAAGCCGAATTGAGTTGGTGTTCGACAGTGGTCGCGCTATTAGAACTCTGAATTTAAAAATCCATATCTCGAAATCCATTAGAAACAATTGATTGTAGTTTTTTTCAAAAACTTTCTTAATATTTCTGCTTATTTCTGCTATGTTTTTTGTTCGCAGACAATATATGTGAAAATCTTTATAAATAAAAAGTTACAGGATTGCTGAAAATTGTTATGCACTAAAAGTAAATGCATGTTTTTTTATAAATTTTGAATGAAAAAAAAACAAGTCTATCTTTTTCTTATTTAAACATCTTGTTAAAGAGCCGAACTTCAAAGTAAAAAAGTTTCAATATCTAAAGTTGTTCATGAGTTAAGTAAAAGTAGAGTTTTTAAAATATCGCGATTACTGACATTTTCGCGTTATAAAAAAAACACCCTAACGATATCCTTATAATTTCATTTCAGATGTTCACAAACATCTACTGATTTTATCTTGTTATCTTTCCGAAGAAAAGTCTTTCAAAAATAAGCGGCTTGCGATTGTGACTTTACTTGGTAGGGAAAGACGTACTGGAGAAATGTGGCAACACCACAACAGCACACCGTCACATTTCTCTCACTCCTACTTAATAAAATCCCTACGCGATTTACTTCCACACATGTAAACACCTACACAACAGTAAGAGTTGCCAGCATGGTATACTCTCACCTATACAATAAACTCATCACAAAGATGCCTATCATATTTCAGGCGATTTTTGTTAGACTGTACAGTTTACGTTTTAAAAAATTTTGTAAAGATAAATCTATTAAATGAATGTCTAATTCTGCACATTTGGCAAATTTATATTAGTTGGTAATTATTGTTCATAGGCGCCCTTATTCAATTCTGATACGCCAGAATTCTACCAACGGTTGGGTACGGAGACGTTGTTTTTTGTATTTTACTACATGGAAGGGACTAAAGCGCAGTACCTGGCCGCGAAAGCTTTAAAAAAACAAAGCTGGAGGTTTCACACTAAGTACATGATGTGGTTCCAAAGACACGAAGAGCCGAAGATCATCAATGAAGAGTATGAACAGGTAAATTATTTAAATATGATTTTAAAATAAATGGTATCCTAAACAAAAATGCATGCAAGCTCAAAATTTCCAATTTTTCGTTGGTTCTCATAATTTTTTGTAAACTTGTGTCAATCTAAATATTTTCTACTCGTGAAAAAATTTAAGGAAAATAACTAAGGAATGAGTTTAGTGATGGGAAAAACCGATTAATTTCAATAATCGAGTACTCGAGTTCCAAGCGATTGCAATAACCGAGCGATCGCTCGTATTTAAAAATACGGTTTTTCACCCGTCGCTTGTTGTAAGTACTCGTTAACGCCAAGCGCCAAGCAGTGAGTTGCGTGCGCAGTTCACATATTCTTTCGGTGATGAATGGCAAGTAGCAAGCGATTTGCTTGATCGCATGATTTAGTTCACAGAAGAGATTTAGTTTATTTCAAAGCATTGTCGATGTAGGTCGTAAAATTTTGTCCCTCAGATACGCAATGGATAACGTCGTATAAATTTGCTACCTGCAATGTATGTAGAAAATTAGCTCGGCTTTTTATCGAGTATGTCACATTAAAATCGGATTTCAATTTCTATCATTCTAGGATCGCTTGCGTTCGTCGCTCGTTCATAATCGAGCGATGTCGGTTATTTCAACAATCGAGTACTCGAGCGAATTTTCGCTCGAGTTATCCCATCACTAAATGAGTTACAATTAATATTTTTATGTACAAAATGGGAGACAGAAGCTACGTCATAGCAACCTCTTTTTTGTTAGTCTCGTTTGACTTTTCTCTTGGCGACTCTTGGCAAAATTGAATTTTTGCGCAAGGGTGAAATTCTCCAATTGTGTTTACCCTGTACTTATTTCTTATCATTTTTTTGGTAATCAATTATAAGCAAAGTGTATAATTCTGTTAACTTAATTCATAATTCACTTAGGGCATTTATAGATCATACCAAATAAACTTTTAATCACGTAATTAAGCTTAGACTCAACGTTGCCGACTTTTTTATATTTTTTTTAATCAAATATTTTAAGAAACTAAAATGAATTAATTATAAATGTATAAACAGTTATTTACATCAACAAAAATCGCCTCTTTACCAGCACTTAAGGGACATAAAGACCCATTACTACCGCTTTCCCATTCAAAATATTCTAATAAGGTTGCGATGAGTTTTTCCCAGCAGCTGTTAAGCTGCTTTGGCGTCTTGTACTTCGCACTAAAAGCGGTTGTAAAACAATTTTCGATTGCAAGGTCTACAAGTAAAAATGTTTAAACTTAAAGTATTCACAACACAATTTACTTAAATCAGAAACTAGTAATACAAAACTAAAGTGTCCAAACGAATGATAATGTTATGAAATAAATAAATAAATGTGGCAACTTGACATTTTTTACAGCAGAGCTACCACCTGAATTGCCAGCGGGAAATTTAAATTCCAGTTAGTCAGTCCGGCGTCGAATATGTCCATGGTTGACAACAATGAATTCAAAAATCGTGCCGTCGATGACGTAACTAAAAGTTTATTTGGTATCGCTTATATCTTCTGATTTCTTTAAAAGTGTTTCTTTGTATGTTGTGTTTTAATTTATTTATTACTCATCATTCGTGTGCTATTTACAAATAAATAGTAATTTAAAGACATTTTTTTCTCTCCGATTTTAAATATAGGTAGGTAAGCAGAAACTCATTTATTTCTTTTTTTTTTCTTTTTTTTTGTAATATGTATTTTTGGAAAATTGATATCTTACAAAGGATATTTATAAATATGAATATCCTAACCTAAAATTTAATTTGTCGTTTATAAATAATGTGTATTAAAAATATTTTTATTTGTTTAAGGGCACCTACATTTACTTCGATTACGAGAAGTGGGGACAAAGAAAAAAGGAAGGTTTCACCTTCGAGTATAAATATTTAGAGGATAGAGATCTTAATTAAATACTATTTATAAAACATGTGTTTTATTTCAACCTAACCTTTTTACAGCTAAATCCAATAAGATTTAATTTTTCAGAAACCAAAAATAAAAATGCTTGGGAATAGCAAAAAGTTTGGAAAGTAAAATAGGATCCATAAAAACATTGAAAATGATCTGTATTCAGTTCTAGTTGCCTATGGCTTAGTAAATCTGAGTCTATGTTATGGTTGCCAGATTGTTATAAACGTCTGGCAACCCTAGTCTCTGTGGTATGCCTCTCTGCTTCTGAATATTTGTGTCATCGTCCATCTGCGCTTTTTCCTCTTTCTGCATTGTTTTTGTTTGAGTGTTAAATTATTATAAGTGGCTGCTACAATTAGAATCAGATCTTTGGATTTTTTCTACCATTATATTAATACTCCTTGAATTGTCTATCATCTATACACGTTCGGTAAATGAAAAGCTAACAGGTTAGACAAACTCCAATAAGACACCAAATTTGGGAAATGCCGCCCCCTCCCAACCACCTGTCCTTTATAGCCATTAATATTATTCTCTATCACAGAGTTGCCAGTTTTACCGATTTCGTTTGTAAGCTGTTGTAGGTACCGATTTAAACAAAAATTTAACGATATGTTCAACTGTGTCTTTAGTCTTAGAAGCACTTTTGAAAATCTGACACATTTGGACTAAAAATTAAGCGACCATTGCGTCGTAAACCGTATAATCCTACATTCGAAAATATTATTGGTAATTAAATTTTGTTTTGAAATTATAGGTGATCGTTCTATCTGGTCTCAGAATTACGGAGACATTTCCAAAAATCCTTATTGTCCCTTGTGTGCGGTATTCCCGGCATTTCCGAATATGATATCTTTAGAAAATATTGTGTCTCATTCATCTACTAAAGTTGAACCCGCCGAATCTGGCAACTATGTTCTACCACTCGTTACTTAGTTTTTTCCGCTAATTTTTTCTTTTGTCGAAGTTTCGCCGCTCTGCGGACACGAGGCAGACGCTTGTGGCCCCGCCCTCTCTCCCAGAAGCAATTATTCTTACTCATCGTGTCATTTTTAATCAGTGGAAAGTAAATCAGAGTTATCTGTCTTTGTTACACTGCAGGGTAGATTGCAGCCGTGTCATCTTTTTTATCGCATTGAAAATATCCTATTGCTAATAATGCCTTTGCCAAAGCTGTGTACAAGTAATTCTTAGATTGATATAGATAGAACTTAGAAGGATATAATATGGGAATGATATAATATGGATATAATATGAGAATGCACGCATGCATTTGTGTTTTTATTTACATAACGTAAGCACACATTACTCTTAGAGTGCACACATAGTCGTGCGTGCCCAACACATTAGTTGAGCACCTCAAACCATAAAAATTATATATAAAAAGTATATAATTTTTCATGGAAAATGATTTTCAGTTGTAATTAATTTGGTACGCCTACAGTGAAACAACTCATGAACTTGAATAATTTATTCGAACAAGTAAAGACGCTGTTTTATATAAAAATCCATACAAAAATTTATTATTCTTAAACATAACGTATGTATGTAGCAAAATTACAATATTATTAGCTCTCTATTGTACTTTTGTGAGTTATAAAGGTACTAAAAACGGGTAATTTACCCAAAAATTCCCAGAAAAGATCGTAAAGTATTCTAACAGGAGGAAATATACAACTAAGAATATAAAATATGTAGTAATATAAGGTGAAAATGAACAGCTTGTGGACGACGTATAATCTGAAAAATACAAAATTGTTATATTTTTTAGTATAAGACATAAAAGACATTTAGACATTAAATGGATATAAGGCTTACATTTTTTGTTGTACTCTACATCTAGGCAGCGATATTAACGGTTCTTTCATGCAGTACTGTCTAGCTCCTAAAACTGATTTTTCTAGGTACCATTCAATCGGCATCGCGTGGAAGTCCATGCAAAATGTTTTCCGATCTATCTCATCCATCTAAGTAAATATAACAGAAACCAGTTAAATCTTTTTTTTTTCTTGTAGTTCGTTGCTTTTAATATACCAGATCCGTCTCAAAAGTAGCTCACCCGTATAACTTTTTTTATTTTTACAGATAAAAAATCGAGATTTGGTATGTTAGTATATGACATAAATCAGGATTGATTGACATATTCAATTGTTTTGGGTCACTTCCTCTTTCACCGGAAATGACTACAACTTTTGATTCTTAAATGGTTAAATAACACTCTGAATAGAATGACATATCATGTCAACTTTTGACATTCTCGCTTTAAAAAAATAGTAATTTAAATTTCAATCTAGAGGCTGTGTTAAAAACACCAATTTTTAATCAAGGAGCCTTGAAAAAATAGATTTGATCGTCCGATGTTTTTAATGTCTTATCCTGGCTTGTTAAAAGATGCCCAAATCGTATTTTTAATCATATCTCAATTTTTTCAAATAGAACGAAGGTGGCTCATTAGCATATTTGAAAAAGGCATTTTTTTACGAATAATTTGGTACCACACTCGTTTTTACGAGTAATTTGGTATTTCGAATCAAATTGTCGTTATGAACCGCAAGTTACAATTTCAAATAAACCATATGCGAAAATGTCAAAAGTTGATATATGATACATCATTCTATTCAGAGTGTCATTTTCTATCGAATATAATAAAAAAATTACAAGGGTGCCATTTAAAAATCAAAAGTTGTAGTCATTTCCGGTGAAACAAGACGTAACCGAAAACAATTGAATACGTCAATCAATCCTAATTTATTTTATATACTAACATACCGAATCTCGTGTTTTTTATCTAAAAAAATAAAAAGTTATAAGGGTGAGCCACTTTTGAGGTGCACCATAGAAATAGAGTATCTCAGAAAAGTGCTTAACTTAATAACTTAACTGAATCTAAGCTTATAATATTATTTTAGAGAGATTTATTTACATCTCATTATATTTTGGATTTCTTGGAAAATTGGTTAGGAACTGTGACCACAAAGAGAGAATATTTTATGAATTTCAATATGATTTTTGCCTGATAGTTTAAATATTGAAGATGTATTGTGAAAATTTACCTCATCCCACAAGCCCAAGAACTTTTCACTAGCAAAGTTCCAATCTCTAGTGGTGAAAAACTGAAGAAGCTCCAAACCTTGATGTATTTTCTTTTGAATTCGTATCATGCTGAAAAAAAGTAATAAGAACAAATTGAAATAAAAGAAAATTACGGTAACGACAAATAAGACAAATAATAGATCAAATACAGCGTCGGTATTAGTATTGTATAATATATACCTCAATATTCAAAAATGTTTTTAATATACTTACAATGTTTTTTGTCTGAATATAAACATTAACAAGTCGATAAACAAGGCAGGTATCCAGTGCATAAATATACAACAAATGTCATGAACCAATTTAGATGATCGAATGTCACCATCAGGATACCACACCTGCATTTCAAATGGATTCCTGTAGACGATATCTCGTCCTGTGTTTAATACTTCCCCCATTGTAATCGGTATTACACCGTCTTGAGTCAGATTGTAAACAGGAACCTCTTTGCTAAAAGGTATGTAGATTAATATAATATTCAAGATTGAATCAGAAAATTGATGAATGAAGCTTTTATATTGAGATTCTTACGGTTTTTCAGTGGCCAGTTTGTATGCAACAACTATGCTGGCGTTTATAGCGAAGTCCACAGGTATTACTTGAGCTTTGTTTTCCCCTATGCAATGCATCGATCTTAAAACGCCTTTTCCAGCAGCTACCAATAGACCCATGGGACCGTTTAAGCTGTCGACCCATCCTGGTATAGGTTCTAGTCCAGCAGGACAAACTAAAAATAGGAAGTTATTTTCATATTTTTTAAAGCTTGATATAGATAAAACGAGGATGCTACATAGATATGTCAGAGATCAAACGAACTTAACTATATACATACAACAAAAATATACTGGTCGTGATATTGGTGAATTAGAAGATTATACAGGGTGAGTTTCCTACAATGTTCTCTATGGGTATCTCGGAAACTACACTGAAGATAGAGAGTCGGTTAAACGGGGAAAGAATTGCAGTTTTGTGGGGTCATAAATATGCGCCTTTTAGATTTTTGAAAAAGTTCATGGCTTACTAGGTATTACGAAAAAAAAATTCGGCTATTTTAAAAATTGTCCCAAATTTCATTATAATCTATTTTACACAAAAAATTTTCACATAAAAGTTGTAGATAATCACATCCCTAATGAGTTTGTGTCCTCTATTTTTTTTCTAAAGCCTGTCATATTTGACATATGACACAAACGTATGTTTTTTAAAATGGAAACCATAGTTGGCCATGACTTCATAAAAAGTGCCATTTTTTAAGCTTTTCAGCGATATAAGCTATAATATGTTTTTTTCGAAAAAATACTGAGTTATAGCCAGTTCTTTTCATTTTAAAACAATTTCACGTAGTTAGCCATGGAAACAAGTGCAATCGTCGTTGCTCTCAGAAATGTGAAAGTGTCACATTGTCACAATTTAGATACTCCCGCATCAATCGAGTGGTTCCAACATGACTTTCATTATGACACCCCCAAAAATTGAAAGAAATGTTAAATATTATTTATATCATAATTATGCAAAAGGGATAGGAAGAGGTGGACCAATTGCATGGGCCTCCTCGATCACATAACCTATCCATTTTAGATTTTTTTTATGTGGTATGGTTAACAATAACGTTTACAAAAGAACTTATGAATTAAAAGAGGCACTCGAAGAAGCGGTACGGGAGAAGTTTAATTAAGTCGACCGGTCGTTCTGTGAGACTAGCTAGTAGCTAGTAATTCAGTTTTAAAAAGATGCTTTTATGTACTCAAAACAATGGCGGATTTTTTGAACATTTTCTAAAATAACTTAAAGTGCATGTAGTGATATTATTTTTTTTTGTTTTACTTTGTGTAATGTAAATTGTAAATAACCGTTTAATAATATATTCTGACTTTTTATAAGTTATAAATCATAACAGAATAAGTATATCATGCCAACCAAGTGAGATTAGTCATGAAAAATAAGAATTAGCCAAAAAAAATTGAGCCAATAATCCTACACGCTTTTCTTCATTTGAAACGTTCATATTTACAAGTTTGGATGTAACAGTTTCACATTTCTGAGAGCAACGACGGTTGCACTTGTTTCCATGGCTAACTATGTGAAATTGTTTAAAAATGATAAGAATTGGCTATAACTCAGTAATTTTTCGAAAAAAAAAACATATTATGCCTTATATCGCTGAAAAGCTTAAAAAATAGCGCTTTTTATGAAGTTATGGCCAACTATAGTTTACATTTAAAAAACATATGTTTGTGTCATATGTCAAAAATGACAGGCTTTAGAAAAAATCCGAGAACACAGACTCATTAGGGATGTGATTATCTACAATTTTTATCTGAAAACTTTTTGTATAAAATAGATTATAGTGGAATTAGGGACAATTTTTAAAATAGCCAAAATTTGTTTTTTTTTAAATATCTAGTAACCCATGAACTTTTTCAAAAATCTGAAAGGCGCATATTTTTGACCCCACAAATCTGCATTTCTTTCCCCATTTAACCGACGCTCGATCTCCACTAGTTTCCCAGATACCAGATACCCATAGAGAACATCGTAGGAAACTCACCCTGTATATTATATTACTAATTGGTGGTATACTCTGTTATCTGTGATTATAGGGATAATATTTGAATTGAGATACTTATCGGTAATAACAATTGGATTTTTTGACAAAAATTATTTGTTAGTTTTCATATTTCTTTTTCTTTCTTACCTACAGAAGGACGAATAATACACACTGGAATATTATCTTTTTCGTCAGCAACTAACGTTTCGGCCAATCTTTTGCTGTACGTGTACGTATTAGGATGAGGGGCTATTATACTTTTGGTTGCCATTTCTAAAGCTTCTGGGTTCATCCATTTCACTATATCTATGACGTCTCTAGGATTGTCTTTATTTTCGTACACCTACAAATTATGAGATGACATTATTTTTGTTTATAATATAGAGAGTGAGTCTTAAATAAGTGCAAATATTTTTATGGTACTTTATTTCGACCCCAGAAACACGATAATGAGTTTTTTTTTTCGCGAAAAAAAATTGAAAATTTTGGATTTTTTAAAAAAATTGTTCGACATTTTTTTACATTTAATTAAAAACAAACTCTTGGTAATATGACAACATCAACCAATAAAATTAAAATCGTATCGCCGGATGCATGCAAATCCGCCTTAAGACCTAAAAAATTTACCCATATATTATTCGTCAGATCTTATTTCAATTTCTAAATTTATATTTGATTTGCTTGAAAAAATAGACTATTCATAATTATCATAATTAGTAGTGCTTATTCTTGTTTTCTTTTAACTTATATTTACTTTGAGCAAACTAAAATATTGCTTTTATTATTTGTTAATAGAAATTTCGTATCTTCTTAGGAAATTAATAATTAGCTTAATAGGTTTTACTAAAAGTCGTATTAGTCGTTTCTTCATATTTGAAAATATAATTTTACGAGAATACAATTATGAAATTATAATTATCTTAAAGAAATTCATTATGACTTAATAATGAATTTAATAATGACTAAATGACGAAAATAGATGTATGGAGTGTGTAAATTGTTATGCTTAATGTTTTTAAATATGGAATTGCATAAACATTTTCATTTTTTACGTCTCTATATTTCAACCATTTTACATTTGCTGTATTAATGTGGTAGATTTGCGTTCTTATGTTGTAGGTTGCGTTTGCAGGTTTAGGACCTGGAAATAAACAGACTTTTATCATAGTAGAAGGAAGAGTAGTTACACTCTCCCAAATATTTTCCGCCAGTTTTTACAATCTATCGAATATCGGCAGATTGCAGAGCGTTTCAGTTGAGTTCCGTCCGTCGACATGCGAGGTTCGAGCGTTGGGTCCCAGCACAGAGACGGATTGACAAAAAATGAGTGCCTTACTGTGTGCTGCTATTGGTTGTAGTAATAATTCAAAAAATTGTACTTTGAGTTTTTTTTGAGAGTCATTTGTGATCATGTTTGTGTTCAGGTTAATTTCTCGTGACTGATTACTACTTAATAATTTGATATTATTTTCATTTAAACCACAATTTTTTTATCGATTTTACTTTTGGCAACCATCCCTTGCTTGCGGTTTAACGAACTGCACCATCATTGAACAAAAATTTGCTAGTACCGAAAGTACCGAACAAAAACTGGAAATCCCGGTTCCTTCGAGGCATGGTACTGAAATTACCGGTTCCGAAAAACAGCTCCGGTTCTTAAATAAGTGCAAATATTTTTAGGGGTAGTATATTTTGGCCCCAGAAACATGACGATCTTTCTGCGCAATTTTTTTTGAAAAAAAAAATCTGGAATTTTTTTTAGTTTTTAGTTAAAATACATAATTTATTGATAATATGGTAACTACTGTTCAGAACCGGAAATTCCCGGTTCTTTTGAGATATCAAAGAACCGGGACTCGCAATTATTAATTCCCGGTTCTTTCGGTACCTTCGGGACTCGATAACAATAACTAAAAGAATTATTAATACTGGGACGTAAATCCTCTCATTGCTCTTATGGGGAGGCCGTCGTATATTTTATTTAAACGTATTTGCTACCACCCAATGACTAAAGAATCCAAGGACAAATAACACCCGAGAGCAAATTGTGCCGATGTCACCAAACAGTGCCGTGGCACATATTTTTCTTAACCTTGCTGTTTGAAGCATAGACTTAAAATAAAATATAGACTACACTATTTACATCTCAACGCGGTCAAAGAAGCTTTTTTGTACACATGTTTACTTCTGGGTACAGTCGACCGAGCCTTCCTCATCCAGCCTATGTTGTCACGTCTTTAATATTATCAATATTTTTTTTTCTTGTTATACACATATATTGAGATATTAATACTACAGTTTAATAAAGTAGGTTTTAATATTCCATAGATGTATTAAATAGTCCTTATACTACTAAATTATAAGTCGGATACTGTTTAATAAGGATAAGTTCTTTACAATATGACAACACCGATTAGAGGCGAGGGAGCCTATTCATTCATTTATTACCTTGTAGTACGTGTCGCACGTGTGCGGTAAAGCTTTGTTGCCGCTATCTCCCCGGCTGTATTAACGCATTTTCTTAGCTTGTAGTCCTTAAGTGTTTATTTTATTGACTTTTTCTGTTCAAGAACTATAAAATATGGTTCGCCAGTGCCAAATTTACAAGAAATTTGACTTAAATAATCCATTTAAGTCTTGAAACGACTTTCGACCGGTAGGCAACTCTCAATTTACCCATTAGGAGTGGCGTTGTTGTTTACCCGTCAGTGGCGTTGTTGTAGAAAGGCGATTATTTAGATAATATTTTAGTAAAATGTGAAATCTGAATTTTTTCTCTTACATTATTTACTTACTTATATTGTAACAAAATCATAATTATAACCCTGTTAATAATTAATAATGTTTTTATTAAAAATATATTCCGGTTTATTCTAAAATTATCTTCAGAATCTAAAATAACATACAAGAATTTTAAAATGATATTACATTATGAAACAATATTTTTTAATATACCGGGTCGTCTCAAAAGTGGCTCACCCCTATAATTTTTTTTATTTTTTCAGATAAAAAACAGATTTGTATATTAGTAGGTATATGACATAAATTAGAATTTATTGACGTATTCAATTGTTTTTGGTCTCTTCCTGTTTCACCGAAATGATTACATCTTTTGATTTTTAAAGGCACCCTCGGTATATTGCTACTTTATTCGATAAAAAATGACACTCTGAATAGAATGACATATCATATGTCAACTTTTAAATTTCAATCCAGGGTACCATGGTGTTGTTAAAAACACTAAGTTTTAATCAAGGAGCCTTGGAAAAATAGTTTTGATCGTCTAATGGGTTTCGTGTCTTGTCTAGGCCGGTTAAAAGATGTACAAATCGTATTTTTATTCATACATACGTCAATTTTTTCAAATGGGACAAGGGTGACTCATTAGCATATTTGGAAAAAGCATTTTTTTATGAATATATTGATACCACATACTTGGTATTTCGAGTCAAATTGTCGTTATCAATTGATGTTGACATATGATATGTCATTCTATTCAGAGTGTCATTTTCTATCGAATAAAGTAGAAATATACCGAGGGTGCCGTTTAAAAATTAAAAGTTATAGTCATTTCCGGTGAAACAGGAAGTGACCAAAAACAATTGAATGCGTCAATCAATCCGAATTTATGTCATATACTAACATACTAAATCTTGTTTTTTTATTTGAAAATATAAAAAAATTATGGGGGATGAGCCACTTTTGGGACACACCCGGTATAATAAAGACAGTACCGAGTTAAATAAATGTAGTTTTCATTTTATCCACTTCCTATCACCTTCCTTGCTTTAATGGAACAAATTTATGTTATCTCTAATTTACATAATAAGACATCACTTAACCAGAAAAAAAAACTACAACAATTATATTTTTTTTCTCTCGCTGTCGCCGATTCTATTATATCTGTGAAATAGATCCTGTTTTGATTAATATTAGGGGTTGTAAATGTTTGACTAAAATTAATAATTTATTATTAATTTCAAAAATTACCTAATTTCGATTATAAAATTTCTTCTATAACGTGTATTTTATTATTTTTATCCTTTTCTAAGGGCTCTAAGACGTTTTTTTCTAAACTTTTATTTAAAAAACCTGTCCTAAATCTTAATAAAATATAAAAAAGTTTAAATACGATATATTTTTAATTTAATTATAGCTTCATTAAAATAAAAAAATTACTCGGCTATGATACGGAGAGTTCAGGTGTACTTGAGAAACGAAAGACAGTGTTGTGTTTCTCGGCAGAGTCGTCAGGGAACGACCGTTACGACAGAGACAACCTATCTATCGCTCGTGTCGCACTCGTTATAACCTAAAACAATAACACAACAATAACAAGACATTGTCTGACCGCATGTTCCAGCTATTTATGAATGAGATGCTCAGTCTATATTTTATTTTAAGTCTATGGTTTGAAGCAATATTTATATTTTTTGATAATTGTTTTGACTACGCCTATGGTGTATCATACTAATTAATTACGAAAAAAAACGTATTAAAATGTTAACAAAAGGTACAAAACTAGTATCGACGTATAGCACATATCAAGTACATATAGATGTTAATTGAAATTGAAGAATAATTATCGGAATTCAATAAGAAAACGCTAAAAAGTTGGAGTGGACTGTTTATTTACCTATGAAACGTAACTCCTGGCTCTTTCTTATCGCTGCTGCTTTTACACTCTTGAAAGCTGAACAACTAATCACCATTGTAATATTTATACAAAGTTTACTACACACAAACTATTAAAAATCGCTAAAAATTGTCGCTGGTGACCAAATGATGACTCATTGTTTGCCATCAAAAGAATGGCCTTTAAGGTCACAAATTCTGCTGCACCCCGTATATGAGCGTTACATGTCCTTATATTCTTTAGTCATTGTTCCAGTCTGTCGACATACCATATTTTATTTAAATCGGACGATTTTTTCTAAGCCTTACAACTTTTCCTTACAACTGAATTTTTACTCCCTGCGCGCGTAAAGTTGCACTACAAAAATTAAAGAACTTTCTTAAAATCCACTTTATTCATGGGTTGTTTACAAATTAGAAATGAAATATTTAAACACTAGTTTATTTGCAAGTACCAAATTATACCTGCGAGATTATTAATTAGTGTTACTTCATGTTTTGTAGACATAAACTAGTACTTGCCAACATAAATAATAATTATTGTCAGCCAAGCCAATATATGTATACGTTATTGCCTATTCGAAGAATATTTATGTCCGAAGACGTACGGCATTGTTATTTTTCAAATTATAATACTGGCTACACTTCCTTTCTACACACGTCATTTTCTCAATGAAAAAATACACTTGAAGCAACCAACTGAAATAACAAAGTAATTTCATTGGAGGTATAATTGGCGTACGTAGTATGTAATTATTAACTTTAATTGGTAAAAAAACGCCTGAATGAGTAGATTTAGAATGATTTTGACTATCACACAGTTTTTTTTATGTGAGAATTAAAAGAACTAATTTAAAAATTATATCTACACTCGCCGTCACGAAAAACGGGTAGGTACCTTAAAATTTTGATGTATTTTAAAGTTTAATATATTTTGTTCGGTGGGCCGATTTTGATGATTTTTTAAGCAATTTGTAGCTGAATTATTTGACTTTTTAGCATCTCTTTCTAAATTAAAAATGAAAGTTTTCATGTGTCAATTATACGAGGGGAAACAAAATGTTGATATTTTGGTGAAAGTTTGAAACACCCTGTGGAATATGTTAACATAGAAAGAAACTTAAAAAATACTTTGTTATCTAGGTGTATCTTTTTTCGATAGTTTGTTTTTTGATTCATCTCAATAACTTTATTTTTATTGGAGATATTGGGTTTTGAATAAGACAATAACGATTTGCAGTAATTTAAGCATTGATTTTGAGTCCTCATCAACACACTTATAAAATAGTGTTTATTGTTTTTGTAATGTCACTGTGATTGAAAAGTCATATTATTATTGTTTATGGACATTTACTCTAGTAGAGATGATTTTAAGTTCTGAAGTATCGCCTATTGCTGCTTTAATTGCCTTAATTTTAACTTTTGGACTTACAACCATATCAGCTAGAGTAACTGCCCAACAGACAATAATAATATGATTTTCCAAAGACATTACATAAATCATAAACACTATTTTATAGGTCTGTTCACTAGGGCCAAAGGCAAAGGGATGATTTTAATGTAAAAAACACGAAAAAATGTTAGTGTCTTCAAAAGCGAATATCTCCAAAAAAATAAAGCTATTGAGATGAATCAAGAAACAAACTATCGAGAAAAGGTACACCTAGATGATAAAATTATTCTTAAATTCCTTGTTTTAAGGTTTTTCTTATTACTGATTCTGAACCGTCCTAGAACTGTGATACGCATGCGCAGAAGGAAATACGGAGAAATTATTTCATTAGCGCATGTGCGGCCGAGTTCTAGGACAGTTCAGAATCGGTAATAATAATAACCCGTACAAAGCTAAAGAGATACTAAAAAGTCAAATAATTTAGCCTACAAATTGCTTAAAAATCACCAAACAACACAATATATAAAACTTTAAAATACTTGAAAATAATTTTAATGTGCCCGTTTTTCGTGCCAGTGAGTGTATTAATGTTAAAATCTAAAATCAAGGCATACTTTAAACAGTTTAGGGGGTTAAAAAGTCTTGGGTTAAAATGTATGTATACAGGGTGTCCGAATGTTCCGTCATAGAACTACTACGAATTTTTGGAATACGAATACAAAATAAGTTAATTGGGCATGATTTACCTGATGTGTATAAAAGTGCTTCAATTCTCAATTAGAAGGCAATATTCAAAAATAAACCCAAACGCTAATTAAAATTTATGAAACCTATTGTCAAAATTTTTTTCTGACACTAGCATAGCATTCCGCATTTTCACCAACCAGATTTTAACGCTCGACACGACAAGAAATTAATATTTTTGTATATCGGTTCTTAAAATTTCTTAAAAAATGTGGTTGTTTTTTAAAACTTGATGCCTTCTAACGGACAAACGAAGCACCTTTGTAAAGAGGCAAATTGTGTACAGGGTGTCCCACTAAGAATAGCTCTCGGCTGTATCTCGGAAAGTATAAGTCGTAGAGCTTGCGGGAAGAATATTTATAACTAATGAGACCATGAAAAATTGCTGGAAATTATTTTCAAGTTTGTAAGACGGCCGCTAGAGGGCGTAACTGCTATAGAAATAACTAATAATATAATAATAAATTTTGCCTAAATACGATGTACTATAAATAATAGCTTCATAGTCTTTAGTAAATTTTAGATATTTTTTGTTAGAACCATTTTCCCCTATCTGCTAAAATAAAGTGGTGGGGGTGGTTAGATCTGTTTTTATTTAAATATTAATAACGGACTGGATGATCGGAATCCAACAAGCGAGGGCTCGTTTAAAAGAGCGTTTCTTACTCTATATTGACCGGAGTTATTAATATATATACACTCCGGAGTTATTAATATTTAAATAAAAACAGATTTAACCTCCCCCCATCACTTTATTTTGGTAGATAGGGGAAAATGACTCAAACATAAAATATTCAAAATTTACTGAAGATTATGAAGCTATTACTTATAGTACACCTTATCTAAGCAAAATTGTATAAAAACTACATTTTCTTATTTTTTGTTGCAGTTGCGCCTCCTAGCGGTTGTTCTACAAACTTGAAAATAATTTCCAGCAATTTCTCATAGTCTCTTTAGTTACAAACAATTTTTTCCGCAGCTGCTACGGCTAATACTTTCCGAGATACAGCCGAGAGCTATTGTTAGTGCGACACCCTGTACAATTAACTTATTTTGATTCCAAAAATACGTATTAATTATCTGTCCACGGAATATTGGGACACCCTGTAAAGCACAGAATTATACTCGTATATATTTATAGGAAATGGATCCTCAAATTTATACTAGGTACTTGTAATTTAAGAATCAATAATCAATAACTAACTTTTTCTTTCATAGTGTAGTGTTTTCAATGTAATATCAGTATTACAATTCTTTATATGAAATTTTATGACAGCTAACTTACTTTTATTTTACATTACTAAGTGGAGTAATATCATTTTTACTGGATCTATAACTGTTATTACTTCATATTCGAGGACAACTTTATGAAATGAAAATTACTTCACTAAACTTTACTTGCTAATGTAAATAATATTTTTATAGCCAAGCACTGGCAGTTTATTACCTATTTGAAGGGTATTTATGTTAATAGATGTTCGCAAAGTTTGTTTTTGCAATTTTATTGTTAGGTACGTTTCCTTTGTGCAAACGATAATGTTTAGTTCGAAAATATAAATATAAAAAAGATGCAATCAACCGAAATAAGAAAGAAATTTCAATGTAAAAATTAACCATATGTGGTATATAATTATTTTTTACTTATTTGCAAAAAAAGTTCATGAATGAATTGATTGCATGAATCTTAGATTACAATTATTCATTCATTGCTGCTGCTTCACTATATTTTTATCTTTTTATATATGTTAACGTAATCAACAGTTTACAAAAAGCGGGTTGCAATGGTCCAAGATGCTGCCATATATTTGTACTTACAATAAATAATATTAGGCACATCTCATTGTACGCTGCTTGTATCTTATTGATATTGATATTGACTGTTTTATCCAAGTGGAGTTAGAAGGCTTTTTAACATCAAAGTTACATCAAAGTAGCTATAAAGGAAGCGGCGAGTTGTATACGAGGGAAAATCGCTGATAGACCAATAGGAGATATCGTGATATACCCTGACAGCTTGGGGGCTTTAAGAAGCATCACCATGCAATCAGTGAGATCGAAAACTGTGATGGGCTGCCGAGAATTTTCACTGTCCTAGCTGGGTCAAGGCAGGACCACTCTGTGCTGGTTGCCAGGCTACAGAAACGTGGTGAGCAACCAAGAAGGGACAGACTCGCCAAAGTGGGAGCCAGGGGAGAGGCCGTGGCAGATGACCCACCACTTGTGACGATCGACACATTGAACGAAGCTATAGGAACTACCATCAAGGCCATGCAGCAAAGGACGTGGCAACCGTCAGTGAGCAGTACGATACAACTCGAAGACTGTGGCCAGTGGTAGATAGTAAAACGACAAAACAACTACTATAGTACAAAAAAAAACTAGTATGCATAATTGTAGGTGTCGTCACTGGAAACTGCCCCACGGGGGTAAATCTCGTGAGATGAAAGATTTCCAACGACGACTACTGCAGAGAACGCGGAGAGGAAGAAGAAACAACCGAGCACCTGCTGTGCCACTTTCCGGCACTGGAATACCGACGCTTTAAAACTTTTGGGCAATGTTTTTTGGAGAGACTGGAGGAAGCAGCAGATGTCAACATCAGTGACATCGAGAACTTAGCAAAGAGCTGGAAGTGCTTTAACGCAGAGAAAGAATGAATATTAGAATCAGAAGAATAACTATATTAATATAGCAGCATCCGGTTGACTTGGTCCAATTACACGCTGGCCGTGTCAACCAGACTTAATACTACTCTAGTTTTAATCATCTACTCATTATGCTAACAGGGTTTCTAAAATTATATTTTCTTTCTTTAAATACATACCCTTTCTTCAAAGACTTCTAAATCAGCCGAACAATAAGCAGTGCTGAAGTGACAAAAAGCCTCCAACTTCTTTATCTGCTTAACCACATCGAGAACCATGGCAGTTCCTTGAGTGTTCTGTTGAATGGCGTCTTTCAATGTTGCTTCCAGCTTCAGAGTAGCAGCCATGTGAAACACCACTGAGACATTCTCTATAAGGTCTTTAATATCCGATGGTTGCAGACCCAAGTTGTCTGCGAATAGATCTCCGATTACAGGAATGATTTTTTTAATTGCGTTTGGATCTTTTTCTCTTAATCTATCAAATACCTGAAAACATACATAGATGTATGGCATACTATTTTATTGATATGGAGTGGAACAGAGGCCAATATGATTTAAAGTATTATAAGTTTTTTTTTGGAAGAATACTTACGGGTAGTTTCCACATATCATCAATTCTTTGTTGTGGCGTTCTGCCTCTCTTGGGCCTTAGAAGAAGGTAAATCTTCTTGACACCATCACAGGAATAAAGAAGTTTTTCTAACATCACTTTCCCCATAAATCCGCTACCTCCGGTTACAAATATACTTCTACCATCGTACCAAGCGGCTATTTTGCTTCTGTTCTCTGCCATTCTGATGGTTCTAAAAGAGGAAACAAATAAAGAAATTAGAAAATAGAGAAAAAAATAGAAATACAAGGAACCTATAGTTAATTAAATTTAATAAAGCATAACAAATAATTGAAAGGGTGGCTGCAATAACCAGACAGCTCCATTTTAATAAATTTGTGGGAAATCGAAAAAGCGCTGTTCGGTTCTTACTGCAAACCCACAGCAGCTTCAACAAACGTCGCCATTTATTTACTGTTATATTGAGAGAACTGATTGTTGCAGGAAACGATCGGCCAAATTTTACTTATTATTACTTTATTAGAGATACCTAGTTATTGCAACCACCCCTTAAATTTTGTAGTTGTAATGTTTTTGATATAAAATCATCATTGAATGTCCAGTATATTTAAATAACGTTTTATAAAAAAAGTTATGTAGGCAACTGAAATTAGGACTTGTGTTAACTTTTTATTTTTTCTTATCTTTCTTGATTAATAATTTCACTTAGTTAACCATGGAAACAAGTTCAATCGTCGTTGCTCTCAAAAATGTGAAACTTTGTAAATTAAAATAAACAAAAATTGTAAATATGATTTTTTCAAATGAAGAAAAGCGTGTAGGATTATTGGTTCAACTTTTCTTGGCCATACAGTTTCGAGGAAACGTTGACCGGTGAACGTTACTTACGTTTTTTAGAGAACGGTTTTCAAAACATGTTAGAAAAGTGAAAAGTTAAATTTAGATACTCGCGCATTAATAGAGTGGTTTCAACATGACTTTCATTATGACACCCCCCCCCCCTCCACAATGAAATAAATGTTAAAATTTATAAAATTATTTATATCATAATTATATAGACTCAGGGATAGAAAGAGGTTGATCAATTGGCCTCCTCGATCACCTGACCTACTCATTTTAGATTTTCTTTGCGGTATGGTAAACAATAATGTTTACAAACGAACTTATGAATTAAGAGAGGCACTCGAAGAGGCGGACAGGAGAAGTTTTAGTTTGCTTAATGTAAATTGTAAAGAGCCGTTTAATAATATATTTTAGAAGTCTTTTTATAAGAGTTATAAATCATAACAAAATAAGAACACCATGCCAACTAAGTGGAATTAGTCAAGAAAGATAAGAATTGGCTATAACTCAGAAATTTTGTGAAAAAAAACATATAGCTTATATCGCTGAAAAGCTTAAAAAATGGCGTTTTTTATGAAGTCATAGCCAACTATGGTTTCAATTTAAAAAAAAACATATGTTTGTGTCATATATCAAAAATGACAGGCTTTAGAAACAATCGGAGAACACAAACTCATTAAGGATGTGATTATCTACAACTTTTTTGTCTAAAATAGATTATAACGGAATTAGGGACTATTTTTAAAATAGCCAAATTTTTTTTTTTAAATATCTAGTAAGCAATGAACTTTTTAAAAAATCTGAAAGGCGCATATTTATGACCCCACGAAACTGCAATTCTTTCCCCATTTAACTCTCTATCTCCAGTAGTTCCCGAGATACCCATGGAGAACATCGTAGGAAACTCACCCTGTATATGATTATGTTAAAATTATATTATCTACTACACAATAATACCAATGTTTAATATTAAAACACTAAAAATTCTGTAATATAATATAATATGTTACTATAACGAAATTTTTAATTTTACAAAAATATACTGAAGTAATTTGCATATTAATTTACTTATTGTATAATATACAGATATGTGTGTTATACCTTATACAGTTTAACTACAGAAGGAACGAATAAAAAAGAGAAAGTTTTTGTACTTTATATGCCTATTAAATTACAGGTTTCTTATAATACGTATGCTTTAGTGGTATCAAATTAGTAGTGCTACTGCACAGAAAAAAATCGTCGACTAAAAAATAATGTTAGTTAATTTAATTTGCTTATTTTTCTAAATAGATGAATATCTTATATTTTTCAGTTCCTCAATAGAGCAAACTTTTGAACTCAGTACATTTATATACAGAGTGTCCCAATATTTCGTGGACATAAAACACGTCTTTTTGGAATCAAAATAAGTTCATTGGACACAATTTACCTCTATAGAAAAGTGCTTCGTTTGTCCATTTGAGGGCATCAAACTTTAAAAAAATAAACATATTTTCTCAGGTATTTTAAGAACCGTTATTCTGATTTGAATGAGATTTTGGGGGTCTATGTTTTGCTAAATGTTTTAACATCTGACAAATCAAGAAAAACCTAATATTTTTTTAAACTTTGCTGCCCTCTAACAGACAAACAAAGTACTTTTGTATAGAGGTGAATTGTGTCCAATGAATTTAGTTTGATTCCAAAAATATGTAGTAGTTCTAAGTCTACGGAATGTTGGGACACCAAGTATATCGTCCCTTATTTTCTTATTTATCTCCTGTAAAAGCAGAATTTGGGACTTCCCTACAGGCATAACTTTTATCTTATGAAGTTCTGTAACCTATAACCGAGGGGTGTCTCACTGTTGGAATTACATGTCTCACTGCCGCACAGTGGGCAAAAATCCAGAAGTATGTTGCAAAAATTCTTTTTTTGTACGATTTCATTCAAATTTGGTAAAAACATTCTATGCCAGTAGCCCGTGAACCTAGTTAGTTTTGGCTGACTTGAGAGTGGTTGGGGGTGGCGGGGGGATTCATAAAATGGGAAAAATCATCTTTTGACTAATACAGCTACTAGAGATGAGCAAAACTGCGATTTTCCAATCGCAGTTGAAACTGCGATTGTGATTTATAAATCGCTGCGACTGTAACCTGCGATTGCGATTTTGATATTTTTAAATTGGTACGCTGTAATCTGGGAAGCTCAATCCCAAAATTTTTAATAAAAAACAGAATAAATAGCGGAATAATTTTTTTTTAATAAGAAACTGTTGGGTGTTTCGATGCCATGTGCCTTTTAAAATTTGTAGTGCCTGTTTTTTATGATATTTTTGCTGCACACATATTGCACTTAAAATTTTCATCAATTACCTACAAAAAAAAAATCCACAAATAACTTAGTTTCCTTTTTTTAAACATTTTTGATTGGAACAGAGACCGAATAAATTTAAAAGGGAAATTAAAAATACATAAAATGTTCAAAATATTCGAATGTGCTTTTAGACAGTAGGTATACTAACGAAAAATTTATTATAAAAAAGGTTGCCGCCAACCTTAATTCAGATAACTAGAAAAAAAACTGTTTATTTTATCTTGTTTTCTTTTAAAAACATTTTCTTTATATGTAACTCAAAAGAAGCCGACGCCGACGGCTTTGATATGGCCCGTCCAGTGCAAGTGCAAACTTTCGAACTTTTAGATAAATAAAAGGACAATATCACATTTTATATTTAAAATTTCTCTAAAATGAAAAAACTGATTGTAAAGGATGTATTTAAATTAACATAGCAGCGGATCCACAACTGTTAGTATATTCAGAAAATTATATTATATTATGGACTGTTATAAAAATGTTTATAATAATATAATATATAACAAAATATAATAAATAAAAAGGGCTGTTTCTTTTCCGTGCTCTATATCTTCTAGTAAATAAAGGATAAAAATAGATAATTTTTTATAATTTGAATCCAAAACTGTCCTTATATATATTTTACCTGAATCATTACCTGGGAGCAACTGTAACTATAATTAGTCATAACCGAAAACAAAATTTTTTTAACCTTCTCAATCCATAATTATATTATAAATCTAAAACTATTATCAAAATTTAAAACTAATAAATTATATATATTATGCGGTAAATAAACATAAATAAGCCTATTTTCCAACGCTTCATAAAAATTACGGGGCCCTGATCGCGAATGTGATTTTGAGATCTAGTCTAGGCCGATGTGTTGAGAGCTGCGAACGAAAATCGCAATGCCGCTCTTCGTTGGCGTGCCCACCCCGATGCCGCAATCGCAATCGCAATGCTGGGATGAGCTGCGATTTTCGTTCAGTTCCTCGTTCGCCTGTCCACTGCCGTGTTGAAGACGCGCCGCCGCCGGCCGGGGCGTACGAGAATCGCAATATTGCGATTTTCGTTCGCAGCTCATCGTTCGGCTTCTCAGTGCTGTGTCGATGCAACGCTGGTGCGAACGAAAATCGCAATGCTGTGATTTTCGTTCGCAGCTCTTCGTTCGCGTGCCCACTGCGATTGCAAATCGCAACTGGTGTAATATTGGTTGCCTAAAAATCCAAAATCGGCAGATATATGTTTCAATCGCAAGTCGCAGTTTGCTATGGAAAGGAATCACAGGTTGCGATTGCGAATTTACAATCGCTGCGATTAAATCGCAGTTTGCGATTTTCTGCTCATCTCTAACAGCTACCAAAATGCGGTACGAATATTTTACATTTCACTAAATTTTACGATTTTTGGCAGAGCCAAAATGAAACAGACAAATATTGAGCAACTCCGGCATATACAGGGTTTGTTTTATAAATTGACATCTTCTGTATCTTTTTTATTCGACGTTTTCGAAAAAAGTGTCATGAATAAAAGTTTAATGGTCTCGAATACATTTTTCAAAACAGTCTTCTTTGCATATACAGGGTGCCTTAGAAATCCTGTGCATGGCCCAACTTTCTTATTTCAAATTAGTACCCAATTTTTTATTTCATTTTTATTTTCTCCTAAAAATCCTAACTACTTTTATGTAGCATAGCCTATACCTAATTTGAAAGTTGAACCTACTATTATTGAAATTACTATTTACTGATATTTTGTTTTATAACAGCTGAAAGCAATGGTCACGAAGTACACATTTTTAAATCTGAAAGAAAAATCCATTTCATTTAATTTAAAAAATTAGGTACTGTCAAAATTTGTCAATTTGTCAAAAAATGTCATTTGACATTTTTGACATACCTCTTCGGAAATCTTGAGAGAAATTACGTAACTTTATATTTCAAGTTCTTCTCTAGCTACTATAACAATTAATGTATGAGAAGTATCCACATAAAAGATCTTACTATACACATACGCATGGAGGCTTCCGTTTCCAATAAATTTAATGTT